ATGGCATCACCATTCACCAGATGCCCAGCTGGTCATGGTGTCTTAGACTTAAAATCCCACCTGAGGTAGGTGGACTGCAATGAATTTAAGGTCAGCCTAAGTTACAGAATGAGACGCTATCTTAAAATACAAATGAGCTCTAGAGTTGGCTTAGTGGGTAAGAGCAATTGCTACTCTTATAGAGGACACAGGTTCAACTTCCAACACCCATATGGTAGCTCAAAACCATCTGTAACTGCAGTTCTAGGGTATCCAAATACCCTCTTCTGGCCTCCACAGGCATCAGCCACACATGTGGCACAAACAGGTACATGTACACAAAACACTCATATACATACATTTTCAAAAAATGTTTTTAAGCAGGCCTTTAATCTCAACACTTGGGAGGTAGAAGCAGGCAGTTCTATGAGTTCAAGGCCAGTATGGTCTACATAGTGAGACCCTGTCTCAAAAAAAGAAGAAAATTAAACAACAAAACCAAAAAGCACCTCTATTCCCCTTTTCCTCAAACCCACATTGAACCATCAATAGTCCACAAAGAACCCAACTGGTTGTAATATAAACTTGGTTTTGTTTTTGTTTTCCATTATATATTCTAGATCTATCCACATTATATCCTTTTCCACCTCATATGCCCTAACCATCTTCTCTACTCAAAAAACCTCCCAGAGCCTCTTAAATGACTGCCTTCTTTCTAGTCTGCCTTCCTATCATCTGCTGCCTAAATAGTGGTCAGTGTGATCTTCAAAACCAAATGCAGGGTATTCTCTCTCATCACTCAATTTAGAATACAACCTAAATGCTTCAGCTGCTTTACACGGGCCCTCTGTCTGCCACTGCCTACTTCTAACTGTCCCCTGCCCCTGTGCTGTCCACCTGCTGTACGATACCCACACCTGAGACCGTTCCTTTTGCTATGCCCATTTTCTACATGACATTCCCACTTTCTGGAATGCACTCCCACCAGATCATCAGATGAACTGCTTTTCTCCCTATTCAGACACAGTTCAAATGTCACTTCTTCAGCCAAACCAGCTTAGATCAACCAATCCAAAGGAGTCTCAGCCCTGAAAGCCAGTGCCAGTGGCTGACAAAAGCAAACAAATGGGGCGCACACCTTTAGTCCCACCCCGGGAGGCAGAGGCAGGGGGATCTCTGAGTTGGAGGCCAGCCTGGTCTACCGATCAAGTTTCAGGATAGCCAGGGCTACACAGAGAAACCCTATCTTGAAAAACCAAAAACCAAAACCAAACAAAAAACAAGAAAAGCTAACAAATGCTCCTCACAAAATCTGTGGAGCAGGTACTTTTATTATCGCCGCCTTACTGATAAGACAACGGCAACTCAGAAGTTAGGAGCTCACTCACACAAGGTCACAACCTAAGTGGGTGGCAAGGCAACTTCAGGTTTTTCAGAATCCAGTGGGATAGCTCTTAAGTGGCTAATAACCCCAATAGCACCCAACACTCTTCTACCAGCACAGCACCCCTTAAATGGATCTGCCCTTTGACCTCTGCCACCGTATTCGTACTATACAGCCACACCAGCCACCTCCTTAGCCTCTACCCCACCCCATCCATGTTCCAGATCAGACTCTACCTGCTGCCCAGACACATGACTCTACACTTGTTATCAAGGTCCACAACACTCTTTACAACTAGCCACTCAGTCAAACAACCAACTTCTTGCCAGTCACTCGTTTAGGAAACCAACAGTCAGGCCAGACACTATTATAAGCACTTGCGAACAAGCATAAAGGAAAATCCTGGGCAGGCATGGTGATACATGGTATAATCCCTGTGCTTGGGAGGCTGAGGCAGGAGAATCACAAATTAAACACCAGCCTGTAGCCACGCACGGTATCATATGCCCTTAATTGCAGCACTCAGGGGGCAGAGACAGGCGGATCTCTAAGTTTGAAACTAACCTAGTCTACAGAGCAATTTCCAGGACAGCCAGGGATATACAGAGAAATCCTGTCTTAAAACTAACAAAAATACCAGCCTGGGCTCTATATCTAGACAGTCTTAAAACCAAAACAAAGAACCTACTAGTGGGGTACCTGCAAACCTTTGTCCCCTCATCTTTTTTTTTTTCCTTCTCTTTGGAAAAGTACAAAGGAGGGAATGAAGAAAATAAACCTAAGGTAATTATAGAAAATGAACTTTTTTTTTTTTTTTTTTTTTGAGATAGGTCTTTCTGTATAACTCTAGCTGTCCTAGCGCTCACTATGTAGACCAGGCTGGCCTCGAACTCAGAGATCCACCTGCCTCTGCCTCCTGAGTGCTGGGAATAAAGACATGTGCCAGCACCATCCTCCAGCTGACCTCAATTTTCTAATCAACACCTTTGCATATAAACTCTCCAGACTGGGATAAGTCTTTCTACTACCTCTATATAAGCTCTGAATCTAGCTCAGACTTCATACCCTCTGTCAATCTTTCCCAGCATACTGTTTCATCCATCTTTGTGTAAAACCTTTTCTACACTATCACCTATTCATTTTAAGTCTAGGCTCTTGATGCTGGGTAACTCTTAAGGACAATGAGCCCTTGAAGACAATAATCTTGCTTCACATTTGTTCCATCAGCATCTAGAACAGTGCTTTATAAATAATAGATGATCCTAAATGTCTACTGACTCAGTGGAGGAGCAGGGTGTTTGGCCATGGGTCTAAATACTTACCCTGGGGATTCATGGCGATGGAAAATGATGGAAGTAATTAATTAGAATGCTGGGCTCTCCTGATGGCTAGCAGCTCACCTGTTTGATGATGTATGTTAGCTCCTCAATTTCTACTGCTTTATCATCAAAGAGGGACTTGCGCTTTGCCACTGCAGAGACAGATGAGGTGTTATAACAGGTGAGAGCAATCACAGGTTCAAAGAACTGGGAGTGAAGTTCAGTGGTAGAGGCACTTGCTTTAAGGCACAAAGCCCTGGTTTAAAATCCCCAGCATCATAGGAAAAATAAAACCTCCATGAACCTCACTTCCTATTACTATGTTTCACTGTCCCACCTAGGAAAGATCTACCAAACACTCACAGATTGTTAGCTTCTCCAGCTTGGCAAATGTATTGCTGAGATCTTTCCCAATGCGCCTGCAAATGATCATCAGTGAGAAGGCTGTGGTAAAGGGCAGGAAATAGGCCATTCCCATAAGCTCCAACACACCCAATCCCACTCAGCCAAACCAACACAGGCAAATCAACTCTCTTAGCCATTATATCACCCCACCACAAAGCCTCTCTTAACTCACTTGGCCATAAGGGTAAATTCACTGCGTTGTCGGGCAGCACGTAGAGCTGGTTTATTTGTTTGGATTCCATTCTGGAAGGTAATGGCAAAAAGTGAGTAGTTCCCTTCACTATTCATGCTCATCTTTTCACTGCTCCCTCACATACCCACTAAACCCTCTATAGCGCTGTTGGCATCAGACAATCTAAGTTTATCAGTGGTTCATAGCTAAGAAAAAAAATTAGATGTAGGTTTAAATCTCGACTCATCGTTTGTGGTATTTAGGACAAGTTACTTTAAATTATTCTTAATCTCTACTGAAGACAATTCCTCCACTCCTATTGACAAGATTCGATAATCTAAGAGTTGTAAAGTAAATTTAGATAACTAGCAGACAAAACTTAAGCATTAATTGGGCTCACACCTGCCTTTCCACTCCAGGTTCTTACCTGACGGCTCTGCAGCGACTTACAGGCAGACAGGAATTCCTGGGTCCGATCCCGGCAGGACATGGTGTCGGGAGGGGAAGGGACCAGGGCCACAGGGGTGGGCAAAGGAGCGATGTCGCTGCTGCTACTGATAGCAGTTTCAGGGGACAGAACCTGTGTCTTTGAGAGACCCAGGTAGACACCCTGATCCGTGTTCTTAGATCCGTAGCGTTTCCGCGGGATCATCGAGTCGCATAACCTCGGACTGCTGTGGAGAGTAGAATGTCATTCTCCAGACAGCCTCTTTTCCCAAACTCTCCCCTCAACCAGCAAATCCTCAAGCTCTTTCCCGTATTTGACAGACTTTCGAGCCCAAGGCCACCCGTAGATCCTGCAGCCTGGCCACGGCGCGAAGGGTCAGCTTCCTCCAGGCCCAAGCGAAGCTTCCTCAGATTCTCCTTCCAACTTGGCTCTGATGGCCCAAGAACTGGCCGGGGGCCCTAAAGTCGAGAAAACAGCCAGAGCCTGGTCCTGCGGCCCTGAGCCTCCAGCCAGACCTTTGCAGTTGGCCCAGATCCTAATCGTGTCCTCTGGTATACGTGATTTCCTTCACCCTCTCACGGGGAAACGGCAACCGACCTCCAAGGTGGACACACTTCGGTGGGCGGAGGGGCGAAAAACCTTAAGTGTTTATTTGAAACAGGAAGTCCCACCTCCATCACAGTTCCGCCTGTTGGAAGACTGCAGCCACTAATTGGACAGGGCCGACGTCTTTCTCAACAAGGCCTTTCCTGATTGGACAGCGAGGCATTCGCTTACGCGGAGCCGCCAGCAGGACTTGCCCCTGGCTCGCCTCTCTCCCCCTCCCCCTCCCCCACCGTCAAGCCGCTGCCCCCGAGCAGAGACGACCGACAGAGACTGGACCCCTACTCGAGCGAAGCCCTACCTCCTCTGTTGCCTACCGCCGCCGCCACTGCCACTCTCCCCAGGCCGTCGCCCCCTCCACGCCGGACTTGTAAGCCGCCGAAACCGGACCAAAGAGCAGGAGCCGCCACGTCACCCACACGCAATCCCACCCCCGTGACGTGCTGCCGCGCCACGCCTATTTTTTCTTTTCCTTTTTTTTTTTTTTTTTTTTTTTTTTTTTTTTAAGCCCAGAGACAGGAAGAACACACCCCTGCCCCGGCAAGCTCAATTCCGCCCTCCTATTGGTTAGGCTGCCGCCGTGGCCCCGCCCCTGAGGAGCCGAAACAGATCCCAAGGGGTTGGGCCAAAGGAGCCTTAAAGAGCCCGTGGGGGTCCCTGAGCTTACAGAACTGGAAGCAGGGCGATGAGTGTTATTGGCAGATCCACAATATTAATTTTATTCTCTGGATGCTGGGGAGGACGAGAACGGGGCTGGAGTCAGCCCTTTTCTGGTTCCTTGTGGCTTCCCTCACGTTTGCGCTCCCGGATCTCACTGTCCTGCTTTTGAGTCTGTTCTGAGAACCTCTTGGCTGACCGTGATGACCCCCGACGGCTGAACATGGATAGCCTGCGCCACAGCACGGTGATCAGAAGACTTTCGTTAGATCTTTGTTTGAGGCGGCCTGTGTTGTCCAAATCGACTTCATTGCCTGCAAGGGCCAGGAGGCCACTTAGTTTAGTTCTGCTCTCTCTAGTCCAACCTCTTGGGGCAGTCCCTTTTGGGCACTTCCCTCTCCCGCTCCCACTCCCTGGACCCTTTTTTGAGTCTAGTCCTACTTTCCCTACCTTCCTCGTTCCCTTCTTCCCTTGCTTGTTCATCAGAGGTCTGATGGTCCTTGTCCTGACAGCAGCCCATGGCCCCGAAAGGCGCAGGACTCTGCCACCCTCCCCAGCCTGCTTAGCTCTGGGCCCAGCTTTTGTGACGTCAGGGCTTGGGTAAGGGAACCCCTCCCACCCACAAGCCACCTCTCCTTTCTCCCATCACAAAAGGTTCAGGATCTCTGTGTGCGTTGGGCTGTTTATTAACAAAATAAACAAGAGTCCTCAAGGACTGGTAGATCCAGGCCGCTTCTTTTTCTTTCTTCTTGTTTGGAGAGTCCCTTGTGTCTGATCCAAATCAGGAAGCTTCCTCTTGGCAGCTGCCTCCAAAGATGCCCAAAGTTCATCTGTCTCTGTGTCTTCTGGGGGTACCATGTTGGGCTCTTGAGGCTCTTGGGGCTCATCCTGATGAGTGAGAAGGAAACTCAGGAATCAGGGACAAGGAAAGAGACTAGCAGAAAAATAATTCCTCTGGACAACCAGTACTTTGATCCAGAAACCAATGCCATGTTCTGGAGTACCTCATCCTTGTCAATAAGGCTATAAAGGCTTGAGCATCCCTCAAGGAAATTAAGTTTACAGTAAAGAGACAGCCCTGGTCTACGTTCTACTGTCTCCCATTCTCTCCACAGAGAATTCCTTGCCATCATGCCTTTGGCTCCCAAATTCCCACACCTAACTAGTGGCTCACCTCCCAGTTATCCCTGCCTGACAGGAGGAGGCAGTTCAGTTGAGACTTGAGATAAACCTGTTAAAATAAAAAGAGGTCTTGAGTCCAGACAAGCTGAGAGAGAAACTTGAACATGGGGCACAGGGCTGGGGAGAGGCTCCAGAAAAAGATGTTAAGAGAGGGTGAATGCCAGAGGGTTGGGCTCTCACCTTATGCTCTAGCCCACGTGGATTTCGGATCCTGTGTATCCTCAAGACTCTGTCCAAGCCACAGGAGGCTAATAGGGGCTTGGAAGGGTGGCATTGCAGCCCACGGACACTGCCTGCCAGCCCCTTCAGACAGCCCAGCAGACGCCCTGGAGAAGGGTGGAGGCGTCAGTGCTAGCTACCTAGCCAATGAACATTTACTTAGTTACTGTTCAAACCACTTATGTTTCATGACTTAATCCTCAAAATACCCTAGAAACGGGAGTTACCAGTGATATTCCAGTTTACAGGTGAGGAAACAAAGACACAGGGTCCAAAGAACTAGTCCAAGGCCACAGTTTTTGGTGAGACAGAACTTGAACCCAGGGAATGAATGTGGCACTGCCAGGGCTCGGTGACTCCCTGCACTACCTTCTCTGTCCCCTACCCCTCTCAAGCAACCCATCATCCACTCACCTTGTCGAAAATCAATTTCTGCTAGCTGCCCATGAGTGTTCCCTACGATGACAGAACTATGGAGGAGACCAGAGAGGGGGCTCAGTACATCTGGAGTCATTCCAGAGCATTTCCCCTGCCCCTCAACACTCACTTGCCCTCAGGAGTAAGGGTCATGGCTGTCAGTGGGTACTCTCCATAGGTGGCCTCTAGGACTGGCCGGCGCTGGGGAGAGACTGGATCATAGACACGAACCTAGAGGGAAGACTGAGGTATCACAAGAGTATCCTTAACTACACTGGCCCCCAGTATCTTCATATCTATCATCATCCTTCTGAAGACTGCTTAATCTTATTTAATTCCCCCCCCCCCCAAGACAGGGTTTCTCTGTGTAGCTCTGGCTGTCCTGGAACCTGCTTTGTAGACCAGGCTGGCCTCGAACTCACAGAGACCCACCTGCATCTGCCTTCCGAGTGCTGGGATTAAAGGGGTGCACCACCATGCCTGGCAAGACTGCCCCCTCAGAGAAACTTTTTCTCATTTGAGGTATGTACTTCATCTCATCTCAGGATGTTGGGGGAAGGAATGCTTAGGAGCATGAGCACAGGCTGAGGGCAGATGTCTATGTTCGAGAACATGTAAACATTTTGTCCCTCATATGCCTATCTAATGGTAGTGGAGGAACAGAAAAGCAGACTGCACCAAAGCTAGAAGGTGGTAGATTTCAAGCAGGAAAGCTTAGCCTTACCAGGGGAGGAGTGGGGAGCTCTTCATATGTTGTGAGCAAAGGCCTAGTACTTAAATCAGACTTTAATGTGAAGGACTTTACAAATGGCAAATAGTGACCCAACCCCGCCTGAGTCTCAGAACTTCAAATGAAATAAGCCACAAAGATCCCTAGTCAAGCCCTCACCCAAAACTGGTCAAGCTGAAACCAGAAAGGGGTCCTCAAAGCAAACTAAACTACATGAGGACTACAAAGGTCTTTCTCTGACCATGCCATCCAGATTATGCCCAATCTTGTCAAATCTCATGAGCCTGGTTGGTACTAGATGGGAAGACTATATAATTGTTTTGACAGCCAACCTGATTTCCACCCACATCTGTTCCCTGTGGAACCTAGTGTGAAAGGAGTACTCCCTTTGCTTTCCCTTCTCAGTAGGAGAAAGAGGAAGTTAGAGTTCAAGAATTTCATCCTAGAATGCAGTAAAGGAGAAGTCATTGGCTCAGCCATGGGCTTGGCCAGCTGAGGGGCTTGGCCAGCTGAGGAGCTTGACCAGCTGAGGAGCTTGGCCAGCTGAGGAAGTATGAGCTCCTTCGAGAGCCCAGGAGAGAAGAAGATGGTAAGACACCATGGGAAACTAGTCTGCCAGGAGACACAGGTTTTTTTCTAGGAAGCTATTTCAATCCAGGAGTAAGCAAAAGAGCCTCACCTGGTGGTACCCTGTGCATGTAACAAGCTTCTGTGACCCAGGGAGGAACTGTATATCCTGGTCCCAAATAGGAACCCGTAGATCCAGCCAATCATTCCGCACCTGGTGTGGAGGTACATATGGGACACAAGGTGTTGGTAAACTTGACCTGCTCCTTCACTCCTCCATCTCCCAAAGCCCATCTAGGCCCCAATCACAGTCAGTGGCCTCCATTTCTCCCAACCTCAGACAAAGCATCCCCTACTCCTCATCACTTACATTCTTGGCCCTGAACACAGGCTGCTCAGACCTCTGTAGGTCCCATACTTTCAAAGCATTCTCTTTCCCACACGTGGCAACCACATGGGTATGTGCTGGGTCTTGGCGCATCCTACACACTCCAGGACCCACCTTCAGTTCCAAGAGCTGAATAGAACCAGAGATGAGTCAGTTCAAGAGTCCTTAGTCCTTAATCTCTCATCTACCAAATTCCCCATTGGATCCCTACCCTGGCTCCCACCCTCTCCAACCAGTAGAGCAGGTGAACCTTACTGGGTCAGATGATGCTTCCTTGTCATTATCACACCAGACTCTAAGGATCCCAGAATCCACACATGTGATAAGGGTGCTGCAATCAGAGGAAGAAACACTAGGATTTTAAAAAGTGTAAACCAGGTTTAGTGGTTCACACCTACCTGTAAAAGGCATGAGAAGTAAAGGGGGGACCAGGAATTCAAAGTCAGCCTGGCCTTATGAGACCCTTTCTCAAAAACAAACAAACAAAACAAACCCAAACCAAACAAAAATAACATAAACCTCTTTCCAGGAAGCCCACACCTTTTCCCAGGCTCTGGATAGCCTGAACCTATACTCTTCCTGACATCTGCCTACCTAGATTTGAGCTCTATATTGCTTGCCTGGGCGGTGGCAAACAGCATCTCTAATATTCCTCACTCTTACAGACTCAGAGCTCAGTCCATGACACTTCCCATTGAAAACCCAATTCTCAATTACCTATGAAATCTAAACTTAGTAGAAAAGCCCTTTACAGCCAGGAGGCAGTGACGCACACCTTTAATCCCAGCACTCAGGAGGCAGAGGCAGGCAGATCTCTGTGAGTTTGAGGCCAGCCTGGGCTACAGAGTAAGTTCCAGGACAGCCAGGACTGTTACATAAAAAAAAAACTTGTCTTAAAAAACAAAACAAACAAAAAAACACACAAACAAAAAAAAAAAAACAATAACCAGCCGGGCGGTAGTGGCGCACGCCTTTATTCCCAGCACTCGGGAGGCAGAGGCAGGCGGATCTCTGTGAGTTCGAGGCCAGCCTGAGCTACCAAGTGAGTCCCAGGAAAGGCACAAAGCTACAGAGAAACCCTGCCTCGAAAAACCAAAAAAAAAAAAAAAACAAAAACAAAAAACAATAACCACACTTGGGAGGCAGAGGCAGACGGATCTCTGTGAGTTCGAGGCCAGCCTGGGCTACAAAGTGAGTTCCAGGAATGGCGCAAAGCTACACAGAGAAACGCTGTCTCGAAAAAAAAAAAAAAAAAAAAAACAACAACAACCAAAAAAAAAGGCTTTTCCATTTAACCTCAATCAAATGCAAAGCCAAACTTACATGTATAATGATGCTTCCCTGACTTCAACCTCCAAATGCTATCTGTCCTGTGCATAAAGCCTTTCAGTCCCTTAACCCTCAGTCTCTAATCAGCTAGTGTCTTCTTTTTAGAATGTCCTTATCTTTTCTCTGTCAAGATTAGTCTTGTACTTCAAGATCCAGTTCAAAATTCCATCTTCTGCATATCCTTTCTGGAGTTCATCTGTTGAATTACCAAAGCAGCCTTCTCTCTTCTTGGAGCTAGAGAAGCTGCACCTAGGTTATTAACCTAGGTGAATCTTCCTAGCCATCACTTTGGAAGCTTCATTATCTTATTGGTTTTTGTCAATCACTACTTAAAAGCATGAAATTACTTGCACAGAACTTTATAAAGGCACCAGGACAAAAACTCTTGGATGCAAACTTTATGAAGGCACAAGTCAAACCCTTGTACTTTCCCCTGATAACTGGCATTCAGCAACTTTCCGATAAATGCATGTTAGAGGAATGAATGAAGGCAAGAACGCTGTTTGCAATCACTCATCCCAGAGGCTGTATCATCTAAGGGTTTAACTTCAGTATTCACTTCACCCAAGGGAGCCTCAACACTCTTCCTGTGACGTGAGCTAAGGTATGGTCCTTACCCATCGGCCTGGGCGAGACCTCGGAACGTGCCCTCCCCGCCTGGGCAGTATCTCTGGCTCTGGAACGTACCCTCCTCGGTGTTAAAGTGTCTTACGGTCCT